AGTAAGGCGATAATGTGAACAAGTGTGTGACAGATGTCGAAGACTGACGGTGATTACGAACTGATTAACAGGCGACCGGATTGACGGTGATGCGCCTGACCGATCGTTGGAGTGCATGTCGCATCGGATGTCTATGGAAAACGGCAAAGGAGAAAACAGGACTATGGTGAAGGCTGTTCTAACATCACATGAAACGGGAATGAGCAGTAACACCTGCCAATGAAAGCAGTGAAAAACAGCGAAACTGCCTGTTAATCTTGCCATCGTGCTAATGCCCAAAGTCAAGTTTTGTTTATGTGTGTGTGGAAAGCGGTAGGGCGCTATGCGCTAAGCTATCATCCGTTTTACTTTGGTATCACAATACAAGTATTAGGTGCTCGCACACTACTGCCAGTAGTTCAGTCGGTACTGAGTAGCCTGCAGCTAATAACAACCTGATATTTGCTTCCTGCACAAACGTAGATGGCAGATAGCATTATGGAAGTGTCTTTACATGATGAGTCTGATCGACGATGATGAATGAAATAGTCATTTGAAGTCGTTGAAAGATGACGATGTCCGGGTCACAACGAAGTGACTTAAAACTTGCAGGATGAATAACTGATGATTGGGCCGATGAATGTGGCTTGTGCTGCAGCCGAAGCCTGTGGGGACGGAAGACCGGTGAGGTACAAATGGAGCAAGGAAACGAGACGTGAATGTACACCAAGCAAAATGATATTTAGCTATCATAAGCGTTGACAATGGTGAATAGTCGAGCTGTTCGCCATATTGGACATTCACATCATAGCCATTGCAATATCAAGCTCCCCAAATTGTCATTAGCTTTCGCAGCCCAAGTCCAGTATTAAGTGCTCAAAGAACTTGCCAAGGCAATATAGGCAAGGTTGGCATTGTGTAGGAATGAGGACAGTAAATGATCACACAAAATGTAAAGCATTCTGCAACGTGTTGACAATGGACATTCAAATATGAATACATACCAGCCGTACGCAAGTGTCTTCGAAAATGTTGATCTCTTGATGGTGATGGAGAAGGTTTATCACGTCCACAGGCTTCAAGAAGTCGATCCATTGTCCGCATATTGTTAAATTTGGTCAACACGTGTCCGTTTTCAACGCATGCGTAAACCGATGGCGAGAGCATTTAAGAACGTTTGAGCATGTGACTGAAATACTCAAAGACACAAGTTGGAGGAAGGAGCAGGCGAAAAAAAAAGAAATACAACGCAGTGTATGAGCATCGTGTTAAAAAATGTAACTGAACAGGAAATGCAATATCATGTGTGGATCGCTCATGAGTGTGAACACATGCTTACATAGATGCAAACCTACACTATACGAAAACATGACTGCTTTTTACGAGAGATTAACTGCTACATTCAGTGGACTGCATCATGTGGTACATGTTTGCGGGCGGAGCATGTCTACCGAATTCATTGGCAATTCAATTAAAACAAACACACACATACGTAGAACTAGATGCTGAGAGCTTGTGTAAGCGGGGCTAATGTATATCTGCAGATAACTAATAGCTAGTGACAAATAAAAAGTGCCAGCAACGGCCAGCGCAATGGGTGCTCCCTGATCGACGGTAAAATCTTCAACGGTATCGACGGTAAAGACGACTGGTAATTCACCTGTGAAAATAGGAGAAGCAGCGGATGATTAGCTGACATGACGGCAAGTCGAAACGAATCGTCGAGAAAATATAATATGTCAAGTCCGCGGATTTCTAAGCTTATGATTTTTCAATTTCGACGACTGAGAGTGAAAATGCTGATCAGATGAGATATTATATAAATTTTACTAAAACCCTTAGAAGTCAATAGGCAGAGGGCTACAAGCCTACTTGATTCAACGTTGAATACCCACCCATATAGTCAGTTCATCCGAGTATTACCGCCTTCAAAAAATACTAACGTTTTGTAGGCATACAATACCGTAAAAACGTTTGGAATCTTGGAGCAGAGCTGTTCGTTCAGCTAACAGCATCCTTTGATAATGAAATAGGCCGGAGGCAGAAACTGGCACTTGAGAGTGCAGAGGCAGTCATCACACAGTCCCAGAAGACGTGACTGGACAAGGCGTCCAAGCGGCGCCTGGTCATACACGGTTGCCATTGGATACTGCGAAATCAGCCTGCAGGCACATAAGGACAATGAGTTAAAGTTTTGAACACGCTTTTCGTTCCCTTGTTGCATTATGAACGTATATCTGCTGATAGGTGCCATAGTTCGTCCTAAGTTCGACCCTCACTGTAAACGTCTCTTCGAACACAGCACGAGAATTGCTAGCTGAATTACTAAGAAGAGGAAAATGGTTGTCGCACGTTGAATTTCACTGATGAAAAACTTTATCAAAGTTATTTCTTTCTGGCTCCTATTTCCCAGACCCCTCAGCTCGTATTTGCTCATATTTACAACCCCACAGGGATAGACGATTTGTCAGGAGTGATAACTGAACTAATTAATAAATCGCACCGCGTTTAACACAACGGTATCAATGGGCGCTAACCAATTTTCTCAGTAATTCTCGTGCTGTGTTCAAAAAGATGTTTACAGTCAGGGCCGAACTTTAAAAAGAAAACGAACTATAGTAACTGTCACCTAAGTGACAAATAAAAAATTACCAGCAACGGGAAGCACAATATGTGTTCCGTGGTCGACGGCAAATTCTTCTACGGTATCGACGGTAAGGATGACTTGTACTATACCTGTTGACATAAAGATGTAACGGATGATTAGTTAACATGGCGGAAGGGCGAAACGAGTCGTCGCGAAAATATCATATGTCAAGTCAGCGAATAGCTGCTTATAGCTTATAGTTGTATATAGTAGTTATAAGCTTATAGTTGTGACGTCCGATGGTGGTGAGTAAAATGAATTGCAGGCTAGACACATGATAAATATTAATAAAAGTATGTAAAGCCAATAAACAGAAGGCTAGAAGCGTAATTGATTCAACGTTGAATGCCTGTATCTAGGAATAAAGGTCATCCTATTCGGGCATCAACGCGTCCAGCAAATATTAACGTTTTGTAGGGATAAAATACCGTAAAACGATTTGGAATCTTGGAGCAGAGCTGGTCGTTCAGTTACCAACATCCTTTGATAAAGAAATAGGCCGGAGGCAGAAACTGGCACTTGAGATTGCAGAGGCAGTCATCACACAGTCCCGGAAGACGTGGCTGGACAAGGCGTCCAAGCGGCGCCTGGTCATACACGGTTGCTATTGGATACTGCGAAAACAACCTGCAGGCACATCATGACAAGGAATAAACGTTTTGAATAGGTACGCTTTTCGTTACCTATATGATCAAACATGACATTGACACAATGACCAAATAAAACAAATCACCTCCAAACGGTAATAAACGTAATGTTTTTGTTTATAAAAAATCTGGTTGGTAGCGTGTACCATTATGCTCCCATTCCACTTACTGGTCACAGATCCAAACTCATGAAGCTCCTAAGATGCCGTTCATGATGACGAGTGTGTTCAATGAAGCTTCTTCTGCTGCATGATGCACTGGTATGGTATGGTATGGTATTTGTGGCTTACGGGCCACCACAGCGTTCTGTATTTGGGCCCGGTTCTGTCGTCCGTCTTCGTTGTTGGTCCGTCCATTGTCTTGAAGTGTCCGTCGTCTTCTTGGCTCGTAAGGGTGGGCTGAGGGTGGGTCAGGGTTCCTAGCTATCTCCTCCCGGGTAGCCGGATTGCCCCTTCTATTGTTTTTTTTTTGTTTTTTTTTTTGTTTTTTTTTTTGCCATTTTGCCATTCTGGGGTCTTTTATTTTGATTCTTATTGTTTTGAATGTTGTTTTTTTCTTTTTGGCTTCTTTTTTGGCTTTTTTTGGCTTTTTTGTCCTTGGCTCTAGGGGAGGAGATTTACAGGTCATTTATCAGCCCAGTGTTGTGTCTTTAGTGGATGAGTAGTGTTGTTAGCTCGGGGTGTAAGTCCCCGAGCAGTGTTGTGAGTGTTAGTGGGATGTTGGCGTCTCTGCAGTATGTTTGTATGTTTGTCCTGTGGTGTTGGTATTGTGGGCATGTGAGTAGCAGATGTTTGACAGTGATGAAAGTGTTGCAGGTGTTGCATTTCGGTCTCGGGCTTCTTGTGATGATGTAGTTGTGTGTGATAGCGGTGTGTCCAATGCGAAGTCGTGTAATAGTCCTCTCGTTTTTGCGTGAGTTCATGTTCTTGGTGTGCCAGTGTTCTATGCGTGGTTGAATGCATCATGCACTTCTGGACAGTGATTGATATCCGACTTGCTTGGGCGAGTGTATGCGAGTGATGTGTAGTGGTGACCAATTGTATCAAAAGAAAATGGCATTGAGAACATGATTTGCAAGCGCAACATGCGGCACAACTCACGTGCATACAATGACAAGAAAAAACAGAAAGTGTCGTAAATGACGCCATAAAACATTGTATGGGCTACAAATATCTCCGCAACGCAATCCTGGCTTGAGCTAATTCAGTACCTACTTTCGCGGGAACACTTAAAACTTATGTAGGTAATGCGCATACGACGCAAGACACATATACAAACATACAACACTAAAAACACAGAACACGGACATTTTGTAGCAGTATTGCATTGTATCAGCAGCGAGGTGGAAAACTGGCGGCACCTTTGTCTCCAACTACGTGCCAGCAGTGCAATAGGCAGCTGGCATTCAGATCTAGCAATAATGTGTGCTCATGAAGTGTTAATGACAACTGTGAGGAGGATAAAACAATTCTGAATTTGATAGGACAAAACTGTCTGGCCAATGTGTTCCGAGCACAACTCACTTTCCCTGGACATGCAGAGTATGTGTTGCTGTGAGTTACTTATCAGATGTCACATTGCTCTGCTTATGGTAGACCTGCAATATGTGACTTGCATGTAAACCCTGCCAGCAGCATGAAGTTTCGCACAACAAAACTGTTTTCTCTGTGTGGGCTTGCATATTTCGTTGGCAGCAGGCAGGCACAATGCGAGTTCCATACACCACTGACTACATGCACTCATGCACGTATTTACTTGAAAACTAGTACCTATGCACTCATTCACTAAATTACTTGTAAGATGACACGCACATCCTCACATACGCACATACATACCCACACACCCACATCCACCCTTACACACTCACAGGCACACATGCTCACAAATACCAATCATTCAGGGTTTCCGATAAGATGAAGCGTGTCTACTGTTTTCTGCCACATTACGTCATCACCAAAAGGATTGAATCAAAAGTATCTAGGGTTAAGAAGCATAAGCAATTGCTGACACATACTTGTCACTTACTTACTTCTAATATGCCCTACTGCAACCATAAGATTCAGTTGAACCACTTTGCTCATCTTTACTTTCAAGCTGACAATCAGCATTGACGAATCAGCATTGGTTTGGCCTTCATGAAAGCTTACGTCAATTGCGCAAATAACTTGCTTGTGGACGAATGGCTTTTAGTATGAATGCACATAGGTAAAGTGAACTGCGCACATGCTGTGACAAACTTTTGTTTGCCTAGTAAGAAAACAGTAGACACACTTGCTAGTTTGGATAAAGGGATATTCTCGTGCGTGTAAACGGTTAATATATTCGAATTTGAGGTTGACGAAATGTCAACGGTTGTTTGTGACGAACGGGGACTATATAGTAACGGTTACTGAAGTTTGGAGGACGTATCGACTGCTGAAATAATGTTTGCCAATGAACAAGAACATCATGCGATAACATGATTAACTAGATACGTTATTTCCGACTAACATTGCGTCGTAGTTTCGGATACTCCAAATGGCGACTTGAAAACGTTACCAAATACTATTGTTTTCGGCCATCGTACAATGCTTGAAACAGTGCCTAAAGCAAACAGTCAACGTCCGTAAATATAGTCTGGTGCAGTATGTGCACTGAGGGTATTGAAAACAACGCTCCTCAGGACATGGCACGCCCGACATGCAGGTCATCGAGAGTACAGTATGACGAGAATATCCCTTTAGTTGTCTAGAAATTGAAGGTCTTGAAGTAGAAGGTCTTGAAGTTGAAGGTCCGCGGAGAAAGCTCGCCACCGTAGACACTATAGCCGGGGATAACAGCAGCAATTGAAATTGCATTTGGCAAATAAGTGATGATGAGGCACAACTGCAAATAGTCTTATTCATAACCACCTTCCATTAGCAACGTGCTATAGTAACATAATTGGCAGAAGAAAGCAGCTCATTTGTAGCCTCATTTGACGGACATTTGTTGAAGGAAATATATCACAAGTCCGCAAACTTTGTTTGGCATGAACGATTAAGCGCTATAAGTTGAAGCATGATCTAACGAAAAAGGAAACAATACCTAAGCTCATGATGCATAGACACCTATGCACTGAGATTCCGGATGCGGCAGTGAAAGCTTGTGTCAACTGACGCAAGGTTGCAATGCTATTTACCGACGAAAAACGCGATTTTGAAGCATTTTCCTGGATGAAGTGAATGTAGACTCAGACGTATCAGGCAATAGTCTGCTTGGATAATGATAAATATCAATTAAAGAGAAGCTTTGCACTCACTCATTGTGCAAATGTAGCAGCCTAATAGCATTTACATGAATAAACTCAATTTTATCTTCAATTGCTGCCGTGATATCTTATCCCCGACCTTGCCTCGCACATGACGACCCGTGGGGGGAGTCTGGTATCCACCGCCAGCAATTGTGCACACTGGTTCGGTGGACTGGACGTAAAATGACGCCACTCTACAACAGACTCATGATCTCCGAGTGAGATCGATCTCCAAGTGAGACCTGGGTTTAGAGGCGCTCTAGCATGGAAAGCTCCTCAAGGCTCCCGTCGCGTGCCTCGCAAATGATACGAGCCATACGCGCCCCCCGGGATTTTAGCCCATGCAGGCTGTTTTTTTGAGATAAGTCTCCACTAACGTTACGTCAGCTTGTGCGTCACCAGTTTCAACAACGAGAATAGTTTATGTTTGGATTAGACGGATGATATGCTTCCTAGCAATGTGGATACATAAATGAACTGTCAGGTAAGCTGAAGCCACCAAAGGTAGATTAGATATCGAACAAGTTTTGTGCAATTTTTATTGCACAGTTTTGTTTTTAAAACAAAGAATGCATTATGCAGTCATTGCTTCGTGCATTCATTGGAAGCAAAGCTTCTAATCATCGTCTGCAAGTGAACTGATGATTTTAAGAATGGACGGCACCAAAGTAGGACGCCGGTATTTGACAGAATACGTTAATTAACACAAATACGATTAAAGGGACCCTCCCACCTTCAAAAAAGTTTATGAATTGGCATGAAAGTGATGTCGCTCGGTTCAGAAAGAGCGAAAACGAATATCTACCAAATTTCACCGAAAAATATTCACCGGTTTTCAAGATATTGGACTTTTACTTTTGTTTTTACTTTTTGGGATCTCCGCTGTTCCTAGCGACTTTATTTGGAAGCAATAGTTCGGCAGCTCAAAGCAACATATACCACCACGTGCTACAAAACGTTTTAGTCAAACATTTAAAATTCGTTAGATATCTGCGATGACGTCACACATTCAGAGGGGTATTCCTATGCATTAGCCCCTCGGAATCAAACTGCTGCAATTTTGAAATTCAATATTTCCGATTTGAGGCATTTCTCGATGTTGTGAGTGCCGAAACTGGTAATTGTGAGCCAGGGACCCCATTTTGGCTATCTCAACTCAAATCTAATGTTAAGGTGGGAGGGTCCCTTTAAAGGGACCCTCTCACGTTAACATTAGTTTTGAGTTGAGATACCCAAATTGGGGTCCTTGGCTGGAAATCACCGGTTTCGACACTCGCAACATCGAGAAATGCCTTAGATCGAAAATATTTAGATTCAAAGTTGCAGCACTTTGGATTCAGAGGGGCTAATGCATTTGGATGCCCCCTCTTAATGTTGACATCACCGATTTACTTAAACTTTGGTAAGACAATTTTTGCCATGGTTTTATAGATACTAAATTGCGCGTGACATTTCCCGCGCTTTCAAGATACCACATTATTGCTTCCAAATGACGTCATAGGAACAGGTAAGGCCCCGGAAAGGGAAAAAAGTTAAAGTCTTATGTCCAGACTGGTGTTTGATTCACCGTGATTGAATCGATTGGATTGAATCAAACAAAATTTGTTGAATCAAAAGGTTTGATTCACCGTCCGGATGGTTTGATTCACAAGCCATGATTGAATCAAACGCATTGGGAATCAGGGTTGATTGAATCAAACAAATTAACGATTCATGAACCTTAAAAAAAATGAAGCGAACATAGTTCATCAACAAATGTTAACACTACTGCCATGTGCTGATAGTTGCATACCAACAAAAAGAACACAACAAATACAATACTATCCCTGATATTTATCTTTATTTTTAAATCGAATCAAAAAAGAATCGTTCAATAACTTTTTGGCTGAATCAAACGTGAATCATTCCTTTTTTATTCTCTCAATCAAAAGGAATCGATTCACCAAATTTTTGGAAGGAATCGAACAGTGATTGAATCAAACAAAAAACAAATGAATCAATGATTGAATCGATCCAAAAAAGATGAATCAATAACCAGTCTGCTTATGGCCCCCCCCCAAAAAAACGAGCAATATTTTAAGTGAAATTTGGTGGATATTCATGTTTGTTCTTTCTGAACCAAGATACATCTCTTTCATGCCAATTCGTTAACTTTTAGGTTAGAGTTGAGACTTTAACTTTTAACTTTTAGAGGTGAGAGGGTCCCTTTAAATTTGTTATTTGAATCAAGAGGTGACGCATGTCGCCGCACGAACGACCCAGCCAGCCTGCCTTCGTGGTTAGCGTGGGAGCTCGGTCCACAACCACGGCGATGATGCCCAGCTGTGGAGCCGTACAAGCACAGGCGCAAGACTAAGCAACCACGGGCAGATCTTCTTTGCAATGTGTGGTGTGTGCACGCCACCACACTCCCCAGCAACAGGGATTTACTATGCAGCAAGGGCGGGCAATCGGGGAGATTGCCGGTACGGCGGACAGCCAGGTGCCCACACCGTACCAAAGTAGATATGCTGGGATTTTTAGCAAGCCCTTGGTCTCGAAGGTCTCGAAGTCTCGAAGAATCTCGTTGGTGTTGATGGCGGACAATCTACCAATTGGAGAGATTGCCGGTACGGCGGACAGCATGGTGCCCATTCCGTACCACGTCGACGGCCCATGTCTCGAATAATCTCGCTGATGTCGATGGCGGACAATCTACCGATTGCCGGTACGGCGGACAGCATGGTGCCCATTCCGTACCACGTCGCCTTGGGGCCCAGGTCCGGTCTCGAAGAGTCTCGTTGATGTTGATGGCGGACAATCTACCGATTGGAGAGATTGCCGGTACGGCGGACAGCATGGTGCCCATTCCGTACCACGTCGACGGCCCATGTCTCGAATAATCTCGTTGATGTTGATGGCGGACAATCTACCGATTGCCGGTACGGCGGACAGCATGGTGCCCATTCCGTACCACGTCGGGGGCCCAGGTCTAGTCTCGAAGAGTCTCGTTGATGTTGATGGCGGACAATCTACCGATTGGAGAGATTGCCGGTACGGCGGACAGCATGGTGCCCATTCCGTACCACGTCGTCCCGGCGCCCAGTCTCGAAGAGTCTCGTTGATGTTAATGACGGACAATCTACCGATTGGAGAGATTGCCGGTACGGCGGACAGCATGGTGCCCATTCCGTACCACGTCGTCCCGGGACCCAGTCTCGAAGAGTCTCGTTGATGTTAATGGCGGACAATCTACCAATTGGAGAGATTGCCGGTACGGTTGGCAGCCTGGTGCCTTACCGTTACCACAGCGAGCTGGACTCTCTTTGCTGACGGCCAGTGAAGCATGTTGCGTTGGACAATGTGACATCACTCTAGATTTTCCGTGTTATCTAAGTCAGAAATGTACGGGATGCTTCCAAGAAGTACCCTGAATAAATTATAAATTGAAATTACCATCGTATTTTAGAGAGCATCAACCGTGGAAAGTCACAAATATGTTTATTTCATTTTAGATAAATTTATGTATATTTTGCATGTCCGTGATGCGATATAGACTTGGGTCATTCCACATGATACAACATCTGGCCTGTCGCGCATACTGTTTATCAAAATGTTTTGAAAATCTGACGGAGTGGCGTGTAAAGGCGCACTTTTAGTAGTTTATATTTGCTTAGAATAACCCACTTATTGAATTGATGAAATGAACGCAATTTGAGTAAACACTACAAAGTACAAATCTATGTAATCTTGGGGAAAATTGGGCCACAATTAGTGCACTTGTTTCAAGGTGAAACGATGCGGCGAATAAAAAAAAATCCATGCTTATAATTTTGTCCCATGCCTTCGAAAACCCGCCACTAAAACTGATAAGCAATGGCCAAAAATAGCCAAACCAGTCAACTGTGCATGGCGAGCAGGCATGCAGGAGTGCCCTTCCAAGCCCATGTGACCCGATTACGTTAATACCAGTTTAATTACTGCCCACTGGGTCACACCACTCCCCGCTGCTGTTAAACAAACATTTTGAGTTACTTTGAATATTATGTGTCTGCAAGGACCAAAAATACGAAGCAACAGTACACAACTGTATTCAACCTCACCTAACTTGATGTTTTTGAAACAGCTTGCTTTGGCGCCAGTTAAACACACGGAAAATCCATGAGCGATGCGTAGTGTCCACTTTTACGAGATGCGGCGACCCTTACCACGCCGGCCCCGACCAGCAGACGTGGAGGCTGGCCGCTTAGACGGTTTGGTGGTT